GATCGTGCTACGTTACACCTGATTCTCAAATCTGATTTGTAGATCATGCATAATCATGCATAACCGAGCACAGATTAAAGAATAAAATGATGGTCAGTTATTAGGTAAAATGGGGGTGATCACAAGTACAATACTTAGTAGAGAGGTGAGGCAGATATCGATTTGGCATGGGTCTAAAGCATCTACTAAGTAACATTACGTAAGTATTTTGATGCAGTTTTAAAAAGCATTTCAGTTTATATGTATTCAAGGATTTTATTAATGAATTTCTTTATGGGGCCAATTATACACACTTAGAAACTGTAAGGTGCTAATTATTAAAGTACTATTTATTAAGATACTGTCTACTCTGACAAGAGGAATTCTTTCTCTTATTTATAATAAATTTATAGGGCAAAAAAAAGAACAAGGTCGAACATTTCCTCCTATAGATTGTCATTGAACTGTTATTGACTCAAGTTATTTGACCTTTTTCTGGTCTAATTCCCAAATCCTACTTACAGCTATTTTTATTGAAGTTTCGACAGAATCGAAAGAGAAGACAAAAAGAAGGCAAGTTCAATGAAGACTTCTATGCCATCATCATTCTATACTTGTCAATTTGCTTATTCATTCATTGACTCATCTATTGATTCATATACTTTTTATCTTTCACAGCTACACATTTTATCCGACAAGGTAATATTACCTTGACAGCTGTCAACCAAATCAGATAAGTATTACTTTCTTCAATAGAATTGTTGATGGGGGCTTGGCTTTCATAGAATTGACATTTAGAGCTTTATTATAAAGGACCTGGCTTGAACGTGTTTTCTTGCATAGGATTGTTAGATAGAAATCATGAATCCTGAGGTATCACAGTATAACAGTATTTTGCATAATAATTCGTATATCCCATTTGCATCATTTCACATAATTTTTGATTTCTATAAACAGGCAGTTTTACTAGTAACAATTCTCTCCACCTTAATTTTTCACATCCTGTGAAAAATCCAATATGTGGTCTTTATAGTCACCTGATCGCATATGCTTCTTAAAGCACAGTAATAATGTTTTTTTTTTCAACTACTACTAATATTAATTTTATAAGATACTTACACTAAATAAGACTAAAACTAAAATTTAAAAAAAAAAAAAAGACTACAGAATCACATGACAAATAAAAAGAAAATAACAAAATGACAACAAAACTCAACAAAAAAGCACATCAATGTCTTATACAAAGGGAATCAACAGAATTTTTCTTGTTATATGTCCTTTAACCCTGTGTACAACTATCGTACGCATCCACTTACAATCCAAAGGTAAGAAAAGGTTTTATTATTTTTTTTTTAACTTTTCAATGGTTCATAATATTTCTTTAGCAACTGCAGATTGAAGGGTATTGTTATTACTTTGCTATCCATCATCCGTAGTTTATACATATTGTTTATCTGCTTGTTGTAGATATAAAACAGACTGTTATATTTAGGGGTAAATTTGTCACTGTGGGAATACTTTTTGGCAACATTTTTTAACAAGACTTTTTCACCAATTTTGAACTCAGCGCTTATTTGATGGTACTTATTGTGATGATCTTTAACCTGACCTTGTTGTTGTATAACTTGAATCTGGGCTCTTTCTTGTAGTGGAGGTATAGTTTGCATCAAATCGAACAACCTTTGAAGGATAATCCCTTCTAACATTTCTTCATCCTGACTAGGATAAATTGGTAATTTTGCTTCATGGCTATAAACAAGTAAGAAGAGAGACATTCAGGTCATTGAATTTCAAGCAGTACGATAAGTGAACAATGCCAAAGGGATCAACAGGTCCCAATTGACAACATTTTCCACAAGTTTGGCGATAACTTCACACAGGGTCTTGTTGAAGCCTCAACTAACCCATTTATTTGGGGTGGTAAGAGGTAGAAAAACTCTGCCTGATTCCTAGTTTACTTAGTAAGTGCTTAATGACCTCATTCCTAAAGTGTGTTTTATGGTCTGACAAGATTCGGTCAGGGCATCCATAGCCACTTTTAAATGTAACACGTAGTAAGATTTGTCGTACGAGTCTTATCACCCTGTGCTTTTTTCGAAAGTTCATTTGCACAGGTCTACTGTACATGAAAATCACATGATCGTCGATTTTCATATAAACCCGTGCAAATTTTAAATGCAGATATATTAGATTTGGTATATGGGATCTTTGCTATTAAAATGACCCTTCGAAGCATTGTTACACGAGATTTTTATTAAGAAAAACATAGTAAATCTATTTTTAGAAAACAAATTTATAGCAAAGACCCCATATTTGAATTGTTATTTGTTGGGCAAAGAAGTTAATATTGTCATTTCTCGGGAAACAACATTATTCGGATGTATTTGAAATTGTTATTTTTCAGCAAAAACATTATTAGGTCGGATGTATTTAAAATCGTTATTTGATGGACGAAAGTATTATTAAGTCTGGTATATTTAACATTGATATTTGCTGGGCGAAGATATTGTTGAGTTGGCTATTCTTAAAATTGTAAAAATGCAATTTATTGGAAAGTAAGATAATATTTTGTATTATATATTGGTTACATGTTAAATTAGTGATTTAAGAAAAATTGTAATGCTCTCGTCTTTTACAATGTTTAAATAATTGATTATAACTATTTCTTGTTTATATTTTTTATTTTTTAAGTTCGTTGTTCGCTCTCCTTCAACCGTCACTTGCATAGTTTACTATTCTTTATTTATTGGTTGTATCGTTTTTTTGCTTTCAGTGTTGGTTGTGCTAATGTTGCATTGTTTGTGCTATTCATTCTCTATCTTTTATTTACACTATTTGTTGGTGCTGATATTAGTAGTAAATCTTGTACCTCCTTCAAGAAAATTGATCATTAAAGTTTTATTTGACATTTTAAATTATTTTAAAATTACTGCGCAATAGTAAATTGGATTTATATTGAATCAATGATTATATTACTAAGGCATATATTACTGTATTAAATTATGCTATATTATAGTTTGCACGATTGTCATCACATAAGACACATACGATAATAGTTATTATATAGATACGAATTCATATCCGAACCACATAGCCTTCAGCTACGTAGTTTAAATATGAACTCACGTGTAATTCATTGCACCCAGATATCTATATGATAACTATAAAGCATTGAATTTACTATAACAAGTTCTAATATTTATTATTATTATTAAATATAGCTTTACCAGTAATCAGGGTTTAAAGTTTACATATAGTATGCAAAAAGTTTGTTATTATTTTTCTTTGTGATAAAATTCTTAAAAAATATAATATAAAAATATACCAAAATATTTAATATATGTACTTAATAAAAAAATATAAATAAAAATATTAAAAAAATTTAATAAAACTAAATCAAATTAAAATAAAAATTGGAAATTTTAATAAAAATATTAAAAATATTAATAAAACTAAATTAAAATTAGAAATAAAATGCGTTTAATTTTCAGAATTTCTAAAATTCAAAATTCAACATAACTACGTTAGTATTCATGTGTTTTCATGATATATACATTAATAAAGGGATCCTGTAAAAAGGAAATCTATGAATAAATAAGAAATAATCAGTAATTGTTAAATGAGTTCCACAGAATATGGCAAATAAAGTTAGCTATGTACCTATAATATAATTGTGGTATTCACGGGATTCACAACACTCAAAAAAATGACCGCAAAATTCGTCAATCTAACCAAATCACAATAAATCAGACAAACTCTTATGATCTTTCTGCTTGTTATTTTTCACTTGTTACGATGTAATCATGTTTATTCAAATTAAAATTCAGCAGACAACTCCCTAGGATAACACCATTATTGGGCAAAAATTTGCGAATACGGTAATTCGACAAATAATTGGCACACGTGCTACCAAATTACCATTATACACAAAGTTTTACCCAATAAGTATACATTAATATAATGTAGATGTTATCTGAGTCGGAAACGACATTTTTATGGCACCACTAACCCACCTATCTAATGAAACAGAACGCTCCAGATCAATGGATAATAATAAGTCCGTATGTTTCCGGGAAATTGAAAAATGATATACGTCAATTAAAAAGACAGACTTTAGAAATTACATCAAAAAAATGTTCATTACAAAATCTTCAGATCATATGCATGAAAATTTTCCGCTCGGATTATTAGCAATACCAAACTAATTTAGGACTATCACTTCATAGGAAGACTTTCGTATGATTGGCTGTTTAAATCAATTTAATCTTACATTATTTATACAGTTTAAAGTACTTTTTAAAAAAAATAAAACTACGAAGAATAAACAAAAA